AAGCCAAAAAAAAAGAAAAAAATTATTAACCGGGTACCGGAACCGGAACGGTACCGCCGGTGCCGGTACCGAAAAATGGGTACCGGAACCGGTACCGGTTCCAGGACCGGTGGCACGTCCCGGCCGGCGGTGACGGTGGCGGGTACCGGCGGTACCGTTGCCGGTCATGGTACCGTATCGGTACCGTTTCCACCCCTAGCCCGGGCTTCTCTTACTTTTAGCTTTGTTATGCAAAGTGCAATGTTATGAGTACATTTATCTTTGCTTTTACAATTTAGCTTTAATTTATTCAAATTGTTGTTTTAAGTTTAAAAATTTTTTACATGAAAATGAAATTATTACTCCGTATTAAGCTTGTGGGTTGATTATATATGTTATTACTCCGTGCACCCTAAAACTATTTTTCATGTTATTATTTACACGATAAAACTTTATTCATTTTATTTGTTTATTTTCATTAGTCATTAATAATATAATATAATCATCTCATCGCTAGTTTCTTAGATTTTTTATGCATTTTTTGAATATATAATTAAATTTTACACTTATGATCACATAAATTGAATTAAAAATAAGGTTGATCAAACCTCGTAAATTAAAATTTTTCGAAGTTATTTTTAAGATGGGGAGATCATAACAAATTATTGAAGTAATATTTTCCCTCCAATCACCGGTTCGATTCTGAAAACTATGTAAAAAAATATAATTAATAAATAATGTATTTATTGAAAATGAGACATAAAAACTCAAAAATAATTTCTGATTGTTTTTTATACAACTATTATTTTGAGCCACGAAATGCTATATTATGTTTAGCCAAAAATTTCACGAATGCCAAGATTCTTTATAGAACTTGTTTTTGATACTCTACTTTTTTTTAAGTTGCTCGTATTAAAGTTTATCGATTGTTTTGTTTGATTGTTCTCTTGCACAAATCACTCACTTTTTCATATCTGTGAGATGATCCAAAGAAAGTTCGTGTTCTTTGATTCTATTCGGAGCATGGTTCCAATCGGAACAGTGGCGGATCCAGAAGTCCAGTTAGATGGGGGCACCATTGGTCGGGGGTCCAAGGCAGCGTTTCTGAATTTTTTATATGCTATTTGAAATGATTAAAAATAAATAAATGATGAATTTTGCTTCATACATTTATTAAATGTAAACCATTTTTAATATACAACGTGAAATTTTATTTTATACACAAATAATTATATGCAATAAAATAAACTTTACTAAAAAAATAAACAAAAAAATAAATTTGGCATGATTAGATGGGGGCACAATACTTACTTTTTTGGGGACATCTATACATAAATTTTTAATTTATTATTTTTTTACCTAATTACAAATGATTAGTTGGGGGCATTTGACCCCTACTCCTAAAAGGTGGATCCGCCCCTGAATCGGAATAGCCTTCACTGTCTAATAATTTACTTTTCGGAGCCCCTGTTCTAAACACTTTACAACAGAAACAAAATATCTTGTCTATCTCTTTGAAATATAGTAGCCATTCTCTATCAACCTTCTCTAAATTTGATTACATTCTTGTATATAAAATAGCAGAAAAGCGTCTAGTACTTATTCCATCATTGGTGTACAGCCCATACATAATGTTACTTTTTTTAAGACCTTTCTCGACTAAAAGCTTATGTCCATAGAATTAAGTCCCTTCAACCTCCATGGATCAAAAATGTTAATAACTTTATGCTCAAAAGTTCTTTAGCCTCTTCCAAATTTTCTTGATCTACAAGCTCTACTTCCACGTGCTCTTGCCCTTCAACATGTTCTTCTTGTTCACCGTCTTCAAGTTCTACTTCTACCTCTTTGATAAGCTCTTCAACAACAGGTTTATACAAGAACATATCCATAGCACCCATTTGAGACTTTCTCATTTCTTCATCTCTTTTTTTTTTTTACGTTTTTGACTACTGGACATATCCATAGCTCTTGCCCTTCAATAATATATTTTTGGAGTCAGTTGAAAAGTCCTTTTAACTGTTCAAAATACTTTTATTGAGTCAGATACAAAAAAGTGTGTCAAACATTTATCAAAATATTTGTTTTGATATTAGAAAATATTTTTAGTAAGCAAAAATATTTTATTCAAATATTTTTCGTGTACAATGTTTGACACACAAATATTTTTGGACTCATTTTTTCACCCAAAATTCCTTCAAATATTCAAATTTGAATTTGAATATATTTCATTGTTTTGGGGGAGCCTCTTGGTCAATTTTTCTATCTCAAACAAACCCAATGCTCCAAAACATGTTTCCCACTCGCACATGTGTCTTGGGGCCTTCATGTTTGAGAAATATCCGTCAGTGGATCGATCCCTTTGGTTAGACCAATCACACGGATTTTTGATCGTGTACGTGCAGTATTCCTACAGAGGATCGATCCATCCAGGGGCTTGGATCGATCCCCCGTACTCAGCTAAAATATATCTCTTCATTTTAGCAGTGAATTGGATCGATCCAATGGCCAGGATCGATCACACGTGGATCGATCACATGGCATGGATCGATCCTCTGAGCTGAATCCTGTCAAAATCATTTCATTTCTTTCCCCAACGAATATATTCTTTCAATCCCTATTTATACACAATTCCTTGGAGTTTTTTTTTTCAATTTCATTTTTTTAATTTTAAACTCTCTAATTTCATTTTTTTTAATTTTATTTTTTCGAATTTCAATCATTTATATTTAAAGTTTTTTATTATTTTTAATTATTTTGGTATTTTGAGTTTATATTTTTTCTTTTATTGTTACTTATTATTATTATTATTATTATTATTATTGTTGTTGTTGTTGTTGTTGTTGTTGTTGTTACGCAATATTATTTTATAATTATTCATCTATTTTTTAATAAAAAAATATTTTGTTAATGAATGGTTCTCCGTCGTTTTATTGATGTAGCATTTCGTAAGTTTAATGTGGTATTCTCTTATTTCTAAATTTTTAATTTTTACAATCCATTTTTTTCATATAATTATTCATTTATTTTTATTTATAAATAAATATTTTTTGTTAAATTTATTTAAATTTTTAATAAAATAAGAAAAAAATAAAAAAAAAGGAGAGGCAGTGCGAGAGAGTGATAGTATTGTACGTGAAGAAATATCCCTGGATAGGAGTAAAAAGTATAAAAATACTGAAATTGGAGTTTTAAGTTTTCTAAGACCAAAATAGAAGTGTAATGGTAGTGTGATGTAAGGGTACACGTTGGTAGTGTGATGGTAAAGTAATGAAAGTGTAATATTTCAGAGTGATAATTAGTAAACCATTAGTGATCCGTGACGGCGCTCTTGTGGCAGGTTGCGACGAATCGCAGTGTAGCAGTTACAACGTGACAATGTAGTGAGTGTGGCAGTGTGGACTTATACTTTGGTCTTAAAAAATTTATGACTCCTATTTTGGTATTTTCATAGTTTTTTACTCATACCTAGAGAATTCTCCCTTCAGCGTGTTTTAAGGCTAGACTAAAAAAAGAGATACTTATGTGGCAAGTAATGGGGGGAGGGGGGGGCAAGAGTCTACACATTGTAAATGGTTTGAAGGATGAAAAAAGAGATACAAAAATGCTAAGGGTACACCAAAAAGTGTATCTTAAATGTACCACTTCCATCTCAACCACACGAATGTAACAGAGGAAAAAAATTAAAAAATGAAAAAAAAATCAATGGTTAAGATCAATGGTATATATATTGGGTACACCATTTGGTGTACCTCTACCCCCCTAGCATTCTTGTTTTTTTATAGATGGATAATCACTATATTCTTAAAAGCAGGGGAATTATTTTCCCGCCCAATGCACTCATCTCATACCCGTCGATATCAAGGAACAAACAAGATCTACGACTATGATTGGTTGTGTAATATTACCTATTTAGAATGATAAATTAATGAAAATTTTGTATGCATAATCACTCTATTCTGATCAAAAAGGAAGGGAGTAATTTGTTTCCTAACCAATTTCACCTAATTACTTGATTGTGATAAAAAGGAAGGGACGGTGCATGAGATTTTTTATATTTTGTTTCCTTTTTAAATAGGTAATTATTTACGCCTAATTATTACTATTATTATTATAATTACTTGGAATAATTTACGTCTGATTATTTTATCAAAAAGTACTTATCTATGCCTAATTAAATAGGTAATTATTTACTTAATCACTCTATTCTTAAAAGGAAATACTTTTAAGACTAATAGAATGATAAATTAAAGGAAATTTCGCATGCATAATTACTTAATTCTGATAAAAAAGGAAGGGACTAGTTTCGCAAACAAGATCTACGTTGTTTCCTTTTTAGAATAATTTCGCATTCATAATTACTTAATTACTCTATTCTTATTTAGAATGATGAATTAAAGGAAGTTTCGCATGTCTAATATATTTCTAAAAAGGAAACGAAATATAAAAAATATTATTTATATAAACTTCTTTTCTAAAAATACATATTTTAATTTTTGTTAAGGACTTTAAAATATCCTGGACTCGGCTATCTACAGTGCCCAGGGCCGGTCCTAAGAATTTGATGGCCTGGGTCGAGACAGAAAAAAGACCCTATAGTCTTTAACTTTATTGGTTGAATGAATTAAAGTGTGTAAAATAATTATATTTAAATGACAATTA